CGTGAAAAACTTTCGTTGGACGAATTTTCTTGTAAACTTCATATTTACTGAGATATCGCACTTTGACGCACTAATGAGCAACCCTGTATATTATGAACACACTCCATTTAAAGTCACAATTTGATAATTGAAATATTTAGCGTGATTTCATTTTTAAAGTTATGAACTCATTGATGGCTGATATAACTGCTAATTGATGACCTTAATTTTTATCGTGGAAAAGCCACTCGATAAACTGTGTATCTAAACTTTGGCTTTAGCCAAACAAAATGACTAACCGTTTAATTAGTTGAGTGTAGTCTAAATAGATAATTTCAATACAAAATGAGACTTTTATATTTAATTAGTGACCAACAAACGCCTTTTAGATCTACTTCCAACCAATATCTAAATAATCTATTTAAAAACGTTACATAAAAGTATTCAAACATGTAATCAGTACATTATCTCCATTGACATTATGTATTTATATCACATTTCGGTGATAATTTGTCACACGTGTCTCGAAATTCCAACAATTATTCTATTATTTTGTCATGCATCAGGTTATGGAATTGGGTCAGAGTAGAACTTTTCACTTATGGAAAGATTTGTTGTCGAATAAATGAACCATTTATTTAAACCCGCACTAGCAAGCAGACTTCTCGAATCATTCAAGTCGCCTGATGAAACCCATAACAGCATGAAAGTTGTAATTGCTTCTGAATTATTGAGATTGCTAAGGGGTTTTTATTTTGTTTTATTACCTTTTGTCAATTTTGTATGCATATTCTAGAATCACATACAAGTCACAGACTTATGAAACTTTCGGTAAGCAAAAATGCCTGTTAATATAAATCCATGCCACAATTGAACTTTTAATTGATGCGTTTAATGTTTATTGATAGATTTTGGTAGCAGTTTGTTACTTTTTGTGACAGCATCAAAAAGACGTTAAAATAAACAATTGTAGCTTTGGAATGAGAAGAAAACCTACTTTTGTAGCAGATACTATCATTAACATTTCAAGCGTATTCTTTGGTACTTTGTAAATTAAATTGTACACAAAAAACTATTTTCTACATACATTATTGCTATATTTTAAACTGTTTAGATTTTCATAATATTTTAGCTACCACAGCTTAGCAATTTAAGGGAATATTCCTATCGAGAATATAAAAGTTACGGATGCAGAATGTCTCACAGTGCCTTTATCATGCTATATAAATAGAACGACGTTTTCTTCAAATGGAAAAATCCGTACTTCTCAGAGAGTTTGACTTTGACTCTTTAGAATTTGAAAATCCTAATATGTTATTATTATGCTTGGCGGCAAATGTTAATATTGTGTAGTACTTAGTACAGTAATTCTGTTTAAAATCCTTCATATATTATACGAGAAAATATTATATTGAACATACTCCTTTAGCAAATTCAAAATGCTCGCTCTTTGTGATAAATTCAGTTAATTTTACTTGATGTTGCTTCTTTCGCCCTATCATGTTTCTCATGAGACCCCTCAAAGCCAAAATTGTTGAGCCTTTCAAAACTGTTCAAACACGCATATTATGCTTGCTTTAAATATACCACAGTTCACTTCATTATTATGAATTTCGAAGTGTAGTGGTAATTTCAATTTTTACTTGCTCTAAATTGTAACTGATTGTTTAGAATTTTATTGCATTTTCTAGAACTTTTAACCTGATGCACTGCATAAAAAACGTTTGGGATAATTTATTTCACCATATAGAAGCACCTATTTATTTGGTTTAATTGCGTCGGATTTTAAAAGATGTTCGATTTGCCCTGAATGTTGTTTAAGCCGAACCATTAAAACATATCGCTATGAAATATCTTCCTTGTATTTGCTCATGTTGTAAGTAAGTGGATCCATTATAAACGAGATATTATCCGTGTAGTTCACCGGAACCACAACTTGATATTATGACAATCAAAAATTCGACCTATCGCTTCATCCTCGACAATAGTTTGTATTTCTGTTACAAGGTCCCAAATTGATTTTCTCATAGTTTCTCAATCATTTTTAATAATTATTTAAAATGATTTTAATTACGTCTGTGGGAAACTTTTCACTTTTTACATGTTGTTTTGCTAAAACTAAACTACTAAACTAAAACAATTTGAACGCAAATAATTATCCAATTGTCTTTTCTTCTTCAATTAAACCGATTTCGTCAAAAAGTAATGAAGAAGAAGTTGGTGTGTACACACTGGATAAAATTCAATCAAACAAGTTTATGTAAAAAAGACTGTATATATGTAGCATACATACACACTTTTTTACATAAATTTGGTTGATTGAAAAAGTAATCAATCTGATAAATGTATTGAACTTTTCTATTCGCGTGTCTTTCTAACAGTTTATATGATTTTATACTAATAATCACATACTAACTGCTAATATAATATGCTTAAATCACAGCTTTGAAAAATCCAATAAGTCAGTAAATTAGTCTTGTAATTTTATGAGCCTCATAAAATTAGATTTGTTACAATATTGTGTGCAATGAGTGAGCAAAAGTAGTGTTAATCTTGATGATTACGACTGAAGGGCTGTTATTATATATAATTGTAGATTTTGCTTCAATTTTGGTTACCTAAATATTGTCCCCGGTTTTCACCAAAATAAAATTTAATTAAAGTGATATTTAGTCTTTTGTTAATAACTGGAGTAGCCAAAATGAAACTTGGCCTTTTGAGCAGTTCTGTAAAGTCTGAATATGTACTAATTGTCACAACTAAAGCCAAAAAATTGTAGCATACACAGAAAGAGTAGCTTTTCATAAACTTGTGCACTCGGATCTTGGTGTGTGAGCAGAAAAGTCCGATGTTTTTTCTGGGTAAACAGTTTTTTGAAGTTTCAAGGAAAACAAAAAAGTTACATAATAGTGAAGAAAAAATAAAATAAAAGAAATATGCAAACATTGCTGCGAGATTTACCAAAACCAAAGAGTATCAGGGAAAAGTTTCTACAAAATTATGAGTATTAGATTTTTCGTGAAAATGAGATAAGATAACGATACCGATTTAAGCCGATAAGAAAACATTGGGAGTTTCGGCCTCACCAATAAAAAGCCACGCGAGAGAATGCTGTTGGAATACCATAATTGTTCAATTATCAAAACAGATCAATTTAAAACGATTTGATTCTAATAGATTTCCTACCGCAAAAGGACTCGTAGAAAGAGAGAATATATTAGAGAACTAAAGACGTAACTAAAATTACTTGATACAGTAGAAAAATTGGAGAATACCATACCAAAAAAGAAAATAATAATTAATCTAATGAAATAAGTAGAAGCAATAAAAACAACAAGCTGCAGGACAGTGAAGACAAGCTGCAGGAGCAGTCCGACCGCCTGACACTCATATCAAG